GGTAAAGCTCGAAAGTCGAATTTCAAAATGTGACTATTTAAATATATGTATAATTATATATATCGCACCCCTCATGGTGAGAATGGCATAAGTGGAGTTACGTCAAAAAAGTTTATTGCTCCATTGGATACAGAAAAATGTAACCTACATCCTCTCCAATTCTCGTAACTATCTACAGTCTTAGTCGAAAGAGTTACGAGAATTGTAGAGGAATTTTGGTTATATTTTTCTGTATCTAATGGAGTAATAAACATATTTGATTTGAACTCCACTTGTGCCATTTTTCCATGACGGGTGCGATATATTAGCGTAGTTGTAATAAAGTATCACATCACGCGTAAAAATATTGAGTAGCTCGCTACTGTCGTTGTAAAGTGGTGATAGCTAGTGGTGGACAAGAGATTAGAAACTTATTTTCTGATTATTCCCGGTCTGTTTACGAGTTAAAATGTAGACATAATATTATGGCTAGGGATTGGTCGTCCACTCTGGGCATAGGACGCTGGACGGTGTCGGAAATAAATGACTCTTAAAAAAATTTGATACAAGTAAGAGTGCTGGTCTGGATGTATACCAAATATATTGCTTAAATTGTGCGCAGAGAAACTACTACTTCAAATTGGTATATTTCCAGCACTGTGGAAAGCGGCACGCTTAACCCTCATACATAAAAGTAGTGATGCAAACATTGTTTCCAATTATAGACTTGTCCGGCTTTATGCAAGGTCTTGGAATCTATGGGTATACATGGGTCTCTTGCCCAGAAGTTCTGTCTTACGTCAAATAGGAAGTCACACGTCCAGGTAGTCGATTTTCAAATTGAAAACTTTCAATCTGCCGCTCTGTAGAACAAATGTCGGCCAACATTCTCCTTTATCACTTTCTTATTACAACAGAATCAGACTAAAATTTGATATATTGTTGGGTTCTCTTGCCTCAGCAATTAATAATGTGTACAAAGCACTTTATGAGTTGTGAGTTTTCATTTGTAATTGTTTTGTTTTCTTTTATGTAGTTATATTCATATTTATTAATCGAACTTTGGTAATGTATAATATAAATATTGTGTGTGTTCACTATTATAAGGAAGTTAGTTTTACTTTTAGATTCAAATTCTAAATTTACATGCGATCGTTTTTTATTTCGACCTTTACTAGGCTTTTGTTTGCTGTTTTAGTTTGAAAGCTATACGTGTTTTATAATAAATTCATGAACTGTAAGTACATTTGCTTTGGCCTTGCTCACTCGTTGTTAGCGCCCACCCCTTAACCCGTCGATGCAGTCCGCACCACGTTTGATCTTAGAATCGATATAAGTGCATTATGTCAGTGGCCGAGCGAGGTATGTCGAGTCTCCTAACAGAATTGTTTAGCGTAAAGAGCAAACTTCGAGCTGGTGCACTTCACAACTGACAGTAGTTAGCACCTCAGTACTTTTACGCGTGGGGTAATGCTTTATTACTACGCTAATGTATACATTTTTAAAATACCCACATTTTTGTTTTCGCATTGGGCTTTTATCCACATTCACGTCGGGCTTCGAGCCGATAACGAGCCGGTCGGCCGATCCGCAGGGCTGGCGGGCGCGCGCGTGGCGCGGCTGGAGACGCAGGCCTTCCACTCGCGCTGCCCGCTGCCGCCGGCCGCCGTGCTGCTGCACCCGTACGACCAGCACGTGGCCGTGGCCTTCAAGGACAACTTCGGGTGAGCTCGGGCGGCGGGGGCGGGCCCGCCTCGCCCGCCGCCCGCCGCCCGCTGACCCCTCGCCTGCGCAGCGTGTGGGACTGGGGCACGGGCGCCAAGCTGTGCGTGGGCGCGTGGCGCCGCGCCTGGGGCCGCATCTCGGCGCTGGAGTACCTGAACGCGCACGCCGCGGCGCTGCTGTGCGTGGCGTCGGCCAACGGCCACTGCGCGCTGTACCGGCCCGGCGCGTCGGCGCAGGAGCCGGCGCTGCTGGCGGCCTGGCGCGCGCTGGACGCCCGCCCCGCGCCCGACTACCGCCCGCCGCCCGCGCAGCCGCTCTACGGCGAGTGTTGCCACTCTCTCGATCGCGCACCAAATGCGCCAAATGGCATGGCCCCGTGCCGTATCGATGTGTCTGCCGAATTCGTCGTCGCCTCCGACTGCGGTGGTTGACGACTGTCCTGTTTTTGGCAGTGCGATTCATAAATACAACTCGAACTGCCCCCGTGGCCGAACGGTTACCGTGCTGGACTGCCACGCACAGGTCCCGGGTTCGATTCCCGGGCCGGGAGAAATATTTGTATGGCCTACATTTGTTTCTCTCATGAGTTTGAGTGTAATTTGTGTGTCTATACGTTGTTTCGCGCGTGCGTATTATTATTATAAATAATGGTCCGGAAGTTGTCGCAAAGGTTTTCAAATTGTTTTATCACAAAATGATTATCACTAATCAGGTTTCTTACCACGGTATGACTTCTTTTTATTTTCCCTATTGTTTTATAACAGTTTATTTATTTATTTTTGTGGGTACAAACAGCTTGTATCACAATGTAATAGAAACTATATTAAATAATTATAAGCAAAAACAGCTCCCTACTGATAAAAATACAACAGCAAAATATAGCATTGACAACACTAAACAACTAAACGACATTGTACACACACATGACACATGATAAAAGCAATGTAACATTACGATTGACGTTGGAAGAGAGAGAAAGAGAAATATATATCTACCCTCACATCTTATAAAGTCCTGTGGACTCTTTTGGTATATCTGGCCCAAGTGCACGCAAACAGAAATGGACAGGTCTTTCTCCAACTCTAAACTGAATGAATTCAACCCTGAAACAACTCCTCCCAATACCTTTGTTTTCCAACGATTCAAAAGGAAGAGATATGAAGGAGATTCCAATCACAGTTCACTTATGGAAGATATAAAAATGATGATTGCGGATTTGCTAGCTCCTCAGAGAAAAGAATTAAGCATGATCAACTCTAACCTTAATGAAATTAAAACGTTTAACCAAAAAATCGAACAGTCAATGGTTTTCTTGTCCAAGCAAAATGAAGAACTTCAGAAGAGAATTACAGTACTTGAAACTCAGGCAAGAAAGGATAGAGAGCATATTAATATGCGAGAAGAGAGGATGGAGGACTTACAGCGTGGTAGTAGAAAAACCTGTCTGGAAATAAAAAATGTTCCGAAAAAGAGATTGGAGACAAAAGATGACTTAATAAATTTAGTTACATGCTTATCTAAATCTGTAAATTGCAAAATCGAAAAATCAGATATTAAAGATATATTTAGAATTCAAAGACGAAAATTAGAAGAAAGAAATACTCCCATAATTGTCGAAACTTGCTCTACCCTAATTAAGAACGATTTTTTTAAGTCTTACAAATCCTTCAATATTAAGAACAAAGATAAATTACGCGCTAAGCATCTTAGACTCACTATAAATGAAGATACACCAGTTTTTGTCTGAGAATGCCTCACTGTTAAGGGTGCTCGTGTTTACTTCTTAGCTAGAGACTTGTCAAAATCGAAAAACTATAAATTTTGAAGACTAATGAGAAATCATATGGATCGAGCAATTCATCAGAATCGTTGTTAATTGTATTATAATAGCGCAATTCTGTAAGGTTCTGTCGTTCCAATAGACTACAATGTCTAACAAATTACTTTGAGCATTTAAAGCTAAAAATAATAATGAAAGTATTAAGAGTGCGAACTCCTAAATTTATTTAAAAGAGTTACAATGATTAATAATAATAATCATTTATTTCGGAACTGGGTCCATAGATTGTTAGTTAAAATTACAAAATGCTTAATTCTAAGGGTTAGTTACACAATACAAAAATACAAAAAACAAAATAAAAAAGAAACAAAATAAAACTATGCGACTGATGGTATGCTATGAAGTCGCATCCAGTGAGCGAACATCGGCGAGTCCCAGCGTGCAGACAACGCGCTCAGGATGCGGTTGGGGCTGCCGCGCAAGCGGTTTAGCATCGAGGCACACATCTTGCGCATAATGGCTGCAAAATCGTCTGTATGCGACTCCACAAACATCCCCGAGGCGCTCAATAGCGCGGCAGCCCCAGCAACACCCGGAACGCGTTGTTGTATTGCACGCGCAGGCCGTTGTATGTCCTCTGCGTATAGTTGACCCACAGACTGCACGTGTAAAAGGATTGACAATAAGATTTAAACAGTGTAATCTTTACTTGTCTCGTACAGCGTGCCAACCTGCGGGCCAACATGTTACAACGAACAGCCAACGACCTACGCTCCCTCTCGATGTCGCTATTGTCAGATAGGTCATCCGTGACCCAGTGACCCAAGTACTTAAATTTCGAAACTATTTTTAAAGGAGCGCCGCAAAGTGTTAGATTAGGTATAATATTGTAACACTTAGTACCCGCCTTAAACGCCATCAGCTCGCTCTTCGAAACATTGTACCTGAGTCCATGGGCTACAGCGTATGACTCACAAATTTGCAACATAGACATAAGTGCTCTAATCGATGGACTGAGCAGTACCATATCGTCAGCGTAACTTATATTATTAACACACATTCCGTCAATATGACATCCGACCATAGTGCGGCTCAGCTCATCGATGAGTCTATTCATATATAGATTGAAAAGTTTGGGCGAGCTCAGCCTCCCCTGCCTCACCCCGCATCCAATCCATAACAGTCCGAAGTAGCACTTCCCCATCTTCATTATCATTAAGAGTAACTCTATTTGAAATGTCGTGTAATGAACACCCTTCCCAGCCGTATTCCGCTTGTAGCAAAGCCGTTTCCGGAAACTCGGTTCGGCCGAGGCGAGTCGCTCGGAACGAGGTCGCGCTTGCAGGCTCGGGCGGGCTGGGCGGCCTGGGCGGGCTGGGCGGCGCGGGCGGCGAGGGCGCGTTCGCGGCGCCGCCGGGCACGCTGCTGCGCTGGAGCGCGGCGCGCTGCAGCCTGGCGCTGGGCGGCAACGCGGCGGCGCTGCGCCTGTGGGACGCGCGCCGGGAGCTGCTGCTGCGCGACATCCCCACCGAGAGCGAGGCGGGCGTGACGGCGCTGTGGCGCGGAGACCGCGGCGCCGACGCGCACGTGCTGGTGGCGGGCTTCGGCGACGGCGCGCTGCGCGCCTGGGACGAGCGCGCGCCGCGGCCGCTGCACGCGCTGCACGAGCACGCGGCGGCGCTGCTGTGCTGCGCGCGCCGCGCCGACCGCCACCTGCTGCTCACGGTGTGCGCCGCGGGGCAGCTGCGCGCCTACGACACGCGCCAGCTGCGCGCGCCGCCCGCCGCGCAGGCGCCCGCGCCGCTGGCCGCCGCCGACGTGCACCCGCTGGCCGACCTGCTGGCCTGCGGCTCCGTCAACCAGTGCATCGGCGTGTACGACCTGCGCGGCTCGCCGCTCAACACCGTCAAGTTCCACGAGGGCTTCATGGGCGCGCGCATCGGGCCCGTCTCCTGCCTGGCCTTCCACCCGCTCCGGTGCGCGCTGGGCGTGGGCTCCAAGGACTCCACGGTGTCGGTGTACGTGTCGGAGGCGCGGCGGTGACCCTCGCTCATCAGCCTCGCGCACTCCCTGCCCTTCCACTGACGCCGGCGCCGCGTCCGCGTCGACGCCCGCGAACGCGTTCGCCGACACGAACTCGACCGCCCGACCGAGATCTCGCCTCCTCGTCCGTTCCGCGCGAACGAGCGCTCGACGAGGACGTCGACGCTCGCCCGCGAGCGAACCGTGGACGTCAACGAATAGAAACCCAACGCGCGGCCGGCTCGACCGCCACTCCGCGGCCGCATCGTAGATGTTAAGCGGCACGAATCCTTCACAGCCACAGATAATTCTGTCTACGGCCACGGCATTGCGGTCGAAGCGCTGTCATATTATGCAAGTAGAAATTAGGCTCACTCGTGGTTTCAGTTTAAATGTTTCGAGTGGCTGTACTTTCAGACCGAATTATCCAAAAATGACAGTAATCTAACAAGATAATTGCCTAACATAAACTTACGTAGCGCGCAAGTTTGTTAGGTTCAAATTCTTTGGTGTGAATCGGCCTTTTAAGGACTGGATTTTGGCAAATATGACATGAGTCAGATTTAACATTTGTATTGTCCGCCAAGCTAATAGTCTGTGCATCAACATCGCCTCCGTTGGGTCTTATTGTTTCCCGCACACGAAACTTTTAAGCTGTCAACTCGCAATAACGAAATTTACGGCGTTGGCCCACAGGAACTCTTTGATTTTCGTTTAAGGGCTGTTCAGATATACGCGATTTTGGCTACCGCTACGGGTAATGAAACTTTTTTTAATACAAAAAATAAGTGCGCATTTTATCTGTTGGAACGTGACGATGGAGTCGATGATGTAGCATGCACACTTAAATAATGCCCTATTCACTCTCGCCTTGAAAAGGTCCAAGTTATAGCGTTCGGGGAATAAATCCGCTGGTAGAAAAATTCCATTCCCTAGCCGCTTGTGATATAAATGTGGGAGCGAGATGAGTCGTGCGAATCCTGGGAATATCCACAACATACTGGAGTGGAACCCCAGCCCGCGTCTAGTCCTCCGATGATGGAATCAAATCATGCAATTCCATCGTACAAGATTGGCATCGCCCCAATCGGAGACGGTCTTAAGTGTCAAATTCAAACGACTAACCATGGACTCCGACAGGACTGGATTACTTTTCCACTGACGATTGCATTAGTCAAGTACCTGTTCACAACTGTGCTATCATTAGCATACCTAAAGGCACCTGGAATTAACATATCCTTGATATGCAGCGTAAAGAGTTGCGGACAGTACGGAACCCTGAGGGACTCTATCTATCTAGAATAGCATGTATCGCAGATGTAGGGAAGAGTAGCCTTCTAAGACCACTCGAATCCAACGTATACTCAAGAAATCCGAAATCCAATTGCAAAGGTCACTGGGAAGCCCGTTAGACGGAAGTTTGCTTAAAAGGCTTGCGTGCCAGACCCTGTCAAAGGCTTTAGTAATGTCTAAAGACACCGCAATGGCTTCGCCAAGCCCTTCTATAGCCTCGCTTCATAAGTGAGAAGCGTACACAAGAAAATCACCAATAGATCGCCCTCTTCGGAGTCCGTATTGCCGATCACTGAGTTGATCGTTGTCTACAAGGTACGACAGAAGACGGTTGAT